TGCTTTGGATGAGATGTGACTTTTGGAGATTACAGCTTCAGGTAAGAAACTCACTGTAAGGAAAATTTTAAAAATTCCCTCTATTTGTCCTTAGATTCTTTTACCATAAATAAATATTTATATACAGAATATATGCATGGACGATGTGTATTGACAGTTTTGGTCCCATAGCCCAAATTCTGAGGCAATATGTTTGTAGCTGAACAAGAGATACTTGATGAAATGTAGCAGATTTCAATTCTTGACCAAATGTAATTGAATTAATTGCATGTTCAGTACTGTACAATTCTCTGTTGTGTGCTGTGATTTAACAAAATGTCTTCCTGTTTTGGCTCTTTCCTTTGATCTTTTTTGTTTGTTTGTTTTTCTTCTTTTCCTTCTCTTCGAGCACCGAAAGGAGTAACCTATCGAGCTTTTGCTGGAGGATGTTATAAATGAAAATTTAGTAACCATTCCATCAGCTTTGTAACCTGGGCGAAGTGATGTGTGCATGGTAGGGGGTTCTTAGGGAAGACTGGAAGTGTGACTGAAATTTGTCACTCTGAGAGCTCCCACCTTGGTTTGCTCTCATTTCAATTAATATTTATCACCTGGGATCGGTGTAGATGTAATACAGATATCTTGAAGTTTTGGAGCAGAAGGGTTAGAAATACTTGACTTGCTAAAATTTGCGTTTTCATTCACAAGTGCCAATAGAAAGCACAAATAACCAGTTTCTTTAGTTTCCTTATCAGCGTGAAAATTGAAGGTCTTTTGAAGTTATAGCAAATTTAACTCTTTAAATGTAGCTCTGACATATCATTGCCCCAACTTTCTGCTTTGAAAATAAACCATTACACTGTCTTCCTCCCACCCCATTAAAATATCTGACTTCTATTCTGCATGGCCTTAGGAGAGGATCTTTATAATGATTTTTGGGTTTGTAATTCCATGACAGCAGTTTTCTTGGCAAGGAACTGAGCTTGCAAATGACAAATATAAGGGTTGTTTGTTTTTTTTTTTTTAAAGAAGACTATAGGGAAATAGATAAAGTAGTCTTGTGGTCACAGGCAACCGACAACAGGACAAGGGGACATGGGCTCAAGCTCTGCCAGGGGAGGTTTAGGTTAGATGTTAGGAAGAAATTCTTTACAGAGAGGGTAATCAAGCATTGGAACAGCCTACCCAGAGAGGTGGTGGATTCACCATCCCTGGAGGTTTTTAAGCAGAGATTGGATGTGGCCCTTAGTGCC